AATGAAGAAAAGTTATGATGAACCCACCATAAACAAATTTTTTTCAATATATATATTTATATGGATATATAAAGGATTATCTCACTAATGTATTAAAAATCATTTTCAAATTAATATTTTCTTTCTACTTAAAGATGCAATCGACTGTTAATGATTTAAATAATTTAATGTTAATTTTTTTTCGTTGAAAAATAAAAATTTTAAGTTTGAATTACATGATATGTGAATAAAATGTGATAAAAAATGAGAGATAATTACTTCACATATTATGTAACCAATATAAAAAAAAAATGCAATCGACCAAAATCAATGCCATACTTATTTTATAAGCATGACTTAGCCCTAAATTTAGGTCTCGTAAATAGGACAAAGAAAAAATTATTAAATTTAACAAAACTTTTTATGCAAGCTTGAGCAAAAGGGTTTCTTTATTCTCGTCCGTTTCGAAGGATATTATTTTATTAGACAGTGCTAGGGGCACTTGCTTCTTGCACTCTCCGACCAACATTACCCTTTTTATTGGATAGCAAAAGTTTACTTTTAATCTCTCATTTTATATTATAATATTTTTAATCATCATTTTATTAAATTTATAAGTTTTAATCACTTATTTTATATTATAATATTTTTAGTCCCTCACATATTAAAATTAAAAAAAATAATACTCATTTTATAATATTTTATTAGTTTTATTAATTGACTGCTAACTTTATTAGTTGACTGTTAGTTGTCAAAAATCTTTTTTCAACTAACTAAATTAACAGAACTAATTTTATAATATTTCGTTAATTTTTTTAATTGACTATTAGTTAACTATTAATTGATAAAAATTTATTTTTAATTAACAAAGTTAACAATTAATATAAAATGGGGGTTATTTTTTTTATTGCAATAAATAAAAAGTTAAAACCTATAAATTTAATAAGATAAGGAATTAAAAATGTTATAATATAAGTTAATAGGTTAAAACCTTCAATTTTAATAAAATGAAGGATTAAAAATAGGTTTTTGCTTTTCATTGCGCCAGTAAAATTGTTTTAAACTTTGAAGTGCAACATCTGACCAACTAAAACAACGTGGCCCAATGAAAGAGGCAGTGTCGGCCGGAGAGTGCGGAAAGCGAGTGCCCCTAGCACTCCTCTATTTTATTTCGA